TCATGACACTTTATTTGCATTCGAAAGTGGTAATTATCTATGGGTACCACTTTTAAATTTGTTTTATCACATACAACATTAAAAACATGCAAAATATTTATTGCAACTACTACACTTATTAATTCTTAAAATTCTTTCTTATAACTATTTTGGCAAAAAATTTAGATGAAAATAAAAAAATACCAAAAATAATTTAATTTAAAAATTGTTACAATGAAGAAAACAAATTATTTTTCTTTAAAAATATACAAACTAATATTGTATATTTTTAAAGAAAAATAAAGGAATAGTGGCACCATGTTAACTTTTTAATTGTTTATATTGAAGTTAACATAATGGCTGCCACTCCCTCTTTGTCGACCTCTTCTGGCGCAACCACTTCCTGTACCTCCTCTGCTGTTGTCACCAGCACGCGTTTTTGGGTGATAATAGGGCCATCTAAAAAGGGGGTTATCTTTGCCCCCAAACTGGACCCAACGCAAATACAACTTGTTGCTGGTGGGTCCAGGATGCTGGGTCCTGTAAATTTTGTAGGCTTCATATGTAAGCTCTATAAAATAAATAATAATTATATTAGTAACAAATGGCATTATGTAAAACTTAATACAAATCTAAATATTTAAAATTATTGACTAATAAATCACTTATAGGTATATTGACTAATAAATCACTTATAGGTAAACAAATTTTTAATAAGAGTAAAAATTTAAATACTTTCTTTTTATGGGAACTCAAATGAGAACACAATATAAATGTATTAAACAAATTTGATAATCATTCAGATACATTTTTAACACATAAATTTACCAGCAGAAGGTTGAGCAGGTGAAACTAAAGGTAGAAAAAGTTCTTATTTAAAGATATTTCAATTGCTGAGAAAAAAGTAGCAAATTATACAAATCATAAAATAATGTATTCTTAACAAGGTATTTGTTAATATACAGATAAGTATTTTTAATACTTATTTGTGTATTAACAAACTTGTATACTTATATGGTGTTTTTATGAATCTTTGAAATAATACTTTTATCTATTAATAAAATCAAAACAGTTTTAATCTAATACATTAATCTTTTTATACTTAAGATTATCTTACCAAGATAAGCAAAAAGAGTAAGGTTTTTAACATTTATGTTATTGTTTTAAAAATAGTTATCAATAATATAATTATGAAAAAAAAAATTTGCTTACTATCTGTTAAAGAATCTATGTACTTGTGCAACTCATTTTTTTTTTCATTCTATACTGTTATATAATAATAAAAATAAAAATAATGCAAAAAAAATTTTTTTTTTCTAAGAACTGGCCCCCCTATCCGCCCCCGTATTTATATAGTGTTCGCTGTTACCGAAAAAAAATCTTAAAAACAGAAATTAGGTACCAAAAGTGCTGCACTTAGTTTAATATCTGCTCCCTTTTTTTTTGGCTAAAATTTGGCTGGTAAAAAGAAAATACATGTAGAAAGTAGAGTAAATAATAAAAAAAGCGGGCTCATAATTTCTTAGATACGAAATTAATGTGAGAACATCGACTAAATTTTCATGGAAAATTTTCAGCAAAAAAAATCATAAAAAAGTTCCCTTTTTCTTTTAAAAATTGTTACATTAAATATTATTTAAATCATACAAGCATGTCTTATATTTGCTTTTTGTTTAGATCTTAGCACTATTATTATAGATTTCTTGAGATTTCGTAAGTATAGTTCCCATAATATTTTTGCATTACCTCAATGTTTCTTGTTTATACTCATACAATCTTTATAATTAAATTTTTAATTTAATTTTTTGAACTTCTTCCCCTTTCTTCTTTCAAAAAATATCCTATGTTTATATGTGTTTCTAAAAAGAAATAGCTCAAAAAAACGTTTGCCTAAGGCTACCTGAAAAAGTGGTATATATAGAATAACACATAGTAAACTATCTGCTCCCTTTTTTTTTGGTTGAAAATTGGCATATGCTTAGAAAATGCATGTAGAAAGATAAATCAATAATAAAAAAAGCGGGCTCAACATTTCTTCTACTATAAATTAATATGAAAACATATACTAAACTTTCAGGACCATAACAAACCGTGAAAAATTTGTAATTATACATTAAAAGCCACATAAAAATCAAGATTACCCCTTTTTCTTTCAGAAAAATATCTATGTTTATATATGATTCTAAAGAGAAACACCACAAAAAAACGTTTGTCTAACGCTACCTAAAAAAAAGTGAAAAAAACGTAGAACAAAATTTTAGCACAAAAATCGGCTCCGTAAAACGCGATTTCGGCGTACCTATATATATATATATATATATATATATATATATATATATATATATATATATATATATATATATATATATATATATATATATATATATATATATATATATATATATATATATATATATATATATATATATATATATATATATATATATAAATGATGTTTGTTATTACGTTATTGCTATTAGAATTATTATTATGTGATGTTAATATTGTTTGCATTTTTATTACAATCATTATTATTATTGTTTATTATTAGTCTGTGATATTTATCAATATTATTATTGTTACATCTAACATTATAAATATTGTTATTATAATTTGCCTTTTATTTAGCTTTTTTATAATTTGCCTTTTATTTAGATAAATATTGTTATTTAATTTGCCTTTTATTTAGATTATTATTGTTATCTTAGATTAGTAGATTGTTATTGTTATCTTAGATTAGTAGATTGTTATTGTTATCTTAGATTAATAGATTATTATTGTTATCTTAGATTAGTAGATTGTTATTGTTGCTTTATTATTAAGCAACATATAATATATTAATAATAACATATAATATATTAGAAAGACACCTATAATATATTATGTTTAATCAACAAAAATAATCAACTTTATTGCACAAAACTTATCTGTCAAATAAATCATACCATATTTGATATTTTAAAACTTTGTGATGCTAAATAATGTTAGTAATACAAGTGATGCTAAATAAATGTTAGTAATGATAAACAGCTGTTAGTAAAGTCAGATGAGAAGAAAACTGGCGGGAAAAATAATACATAATGTCTTGGGCATGTGCGTGTTTTTTCTGGTAGTCCGGCATACGAAGAGAACTAGATTCGGATTTCAACGGAATAATAAATTTTAAACCAATCAAAATCGGGAGTCATCTCAGGAAATAGCCGCCAGTATAAAAACCAGATATAAATATAGCCGCCAGTATAAAAACCAGCCGCCAGTATAAAAACCCAAACGAGCAAATATGCTTGATTTTATTACCATATTGGACCCGTCTGGAAACCAAAACACTTACCCGTCAAAATCCCGTTTCCGTAAGCCTAGACAAAAACCATACGGTAACCTTCTGTCAATGTTGGCTGGGCTGTGTTATTGTTACTGGTACTAAAGAGACATAAGGCTAAGAAAGAGAACAGAAATAAGGCTGAGAAAGGAGACATTATTTGAAAATACAAGGTCTAGAATTTTGTCTTCACGAGTAGGTTCCTGTACAAACTGGTGCAACCCGAGGCTATTTATTAAACTTAATAAAAGGCTGTGGCACTTTTCGTTTTGTGGTACTGTATTCATTTAAGTTGTTGTTTGCCGTTTTGTTACACCATTTTTAATTTTTTTAAATATTATTGACAAACCGTCAAAATACTATACTTTTAAATTATTATAAACTGGGTACTGGAAATTATGAGTTCCGTTCGGAACCGGACTTGTTAACAAAGTTCCCGCCGGAGCGAGAAGTATACTTATGCAATTTTTTACCTTCAAAATTGAAAGTGAAAGCCTGCACCTCAGCATTGTGGCTACATCATATATATTTATAACTTGTAGTACATATATCATTAATTTGGTTCATTTAAATCTAATATGTTGCTTTTATTTGTTTCTTGCAATTTTATTTATTGAAAGTTTTAACCTACATAATATTTATATTTAAAATTATTTCTTAGTCTCTATTTCTTTAGAGTTTCCCAAAACAAATTAAATTGATACTTTTTTAATGCATACACACTAAAAAAAAAGATAAAAATTTCTACCTTAGAGTAGGATATGTGATATACCCTTAGTAAGGTATAATTTTCTACCTTTAAAGGTAGAAAATTATAATAAAAAAATTATTTGCCATAAATTTTTATAATTATTTTAATTAAATTTAAAATTTTTTTTTTAAATTAAAATTTTATAATTATAATTGATTTTAAAATTTTACCTTAATGGTATAACTTTCAACCTTAAAAGCTAGAAAGTTATACCTTACTAAGGGTATATCACATATTCTACCTTAAGAAGAAATTTCTACCTTACGAATACCAATTAAATAATTACCAAACTGTGTTAGGAAACTAGTCTCATTCTACCAAGTTTGGAGAGATTTGCAAAAAAATGCGAAAAAAAGAAAGAGAGTTTGAACAACGTTGACAAGAGTTTCTTTCCAACATAAACAATTTGTTTGACATTACTTATGTCGATGCGCTTCAGCAATTTAATTTGTTAGCTCTTTAAACTTCTATGCAAAAACATTTCAAAAATCTAAAGTTGGTTGCTGAGTTAGATATCAGTTAAGTTTGAGAGATTCTGTATATTTAATTGAAGCTACTATTGACGCTCTAGAATTAGAATAAAAATGCAAAAAGATCGGGCTGAAAGTATAAAAGTTTTTTAAAACAATATCTGTGATACGGAAACCGTCCACTGCGATGGCAAACTTTTGCCAGCTCTAGCTTTATATAAATTTAAAGAAGAATCCCTACCAATAGTTATTTTATATGAAGATAATGAACAACTTATTGCTGTATCAAAATTGAACAGCTCATCGGGAAGCGAGCAGGCAAAGGCTGCTTGGAATGCCATTATCAACAGGAATCTTAAGGACAGACAGCAGATTCTCTGTTGTAATGCTACTGCTTTCAATAATATTTCTGGGTGGAGATACATAAAAGAAATTTATTGTTCGGCCTCCAGGTGCTATGCACCAAGCTCAGTATATTTGTTTGCTAAAAATATCATTAATAAAATCCAACTTCAGAATTTCAAAAAAGGATAAGGCAGCTCTGTTGGATGTCTGTCTGTTTTTCGTGGCATCAAATTCTGGCTATAATGCATTTTATTAGTAAAATTACGTTATCAGGGCTTAAACTTTTTGTAGTCCATGAAAACTTAAGAAACAATAGACAAAAGCATTTTCAAAGCAGATTTATAGAAGTTTAGCTAACATTTATGGTATTTGAAAGATGAAGTGTCTGTTAGGTCTTTATTTGACGATGATGTCAATCAAGAAACTAAAGTAAAAATGTTAGCTAACTTAGCTAATGAAACCTCATCAGCTTACGATAAACTATACATTGCATCTAAAGAAGAACTTTGTGGCCCACTTATTGGTATGTCATATGTAAATTATGCTTAAGTTTTTTTTTCTATAGTTTACCATACAATTGATAACAGTTCCTTCTTTTTTAATTTCGAAGGAAAATATTGACTTTGTCTCCGACAAAAACAAGTTTCTATTTAATCGAATCAAAACTGATGACAGTTTTCTTAAGAAGAGCCCTTTTTTATAGCCAAATGATAATTTGTTCCAACAAGCAAAAAGGAAACCATTGACACTGAGAGCAGTTAATGATACGGCAAAAAGAACAGCTAAATAATGCTAGACTTTCATTGTTTAATCACTGTTGAAGAGAAGCAAAAACAATTTTTATTAAATTGTGTGCAAGAACACAGAAACGCATATCCTGGTTGTAAATAGTAAACTTTAAAATAGAAATTTAATGATTAATGTGTCTTTTACTATAAATACATAATAAATAATATATATGTGTTTTATTTACTGAATGTAAGTATGAACTCTACAATGTTCTTATAAATCCATACTAAAATTTCAATTTTTGACGTCAAATCAAGGGTTATCGTTATCCGATCTCAATAATATATAATATTGCCGTTTTTGGAATCAAATGAAAAAAAAAAAAAAAAAGATAGAGGGTATGCGTTTTTAAATTCAAAAAAAAATTTTTTTTTACCTTTATACCTGGGACACGGTAAAATATATATTTAAAAAAATTTATACATAATTCTATATATAATATATATATATATATATATATATATATATATTAATGTACGAAAGGTTCTGAATTTTCTAATTTACTTTTTTACATTTATCTCTTAACAACTTAGCTTTATATCGTTCTGCTTCGGTTAAATCAGGGTTAATAAAAATTTTTAAACTCTTTTGAAGTTTTCAATATTTTTGCTGTTTTTAAAATTGAATTGCGATTGGTTTTATTATTTAAAACAATAACAATAGGTGGTTAATTTTTTTTTTCAATTTGAGCTTTATTGTTTGCTTAACTTCAACGTTTAGATTTAGTCCAGGAGTAACTCAAAAAACTACTGTTTGTGGAAATTTTTTTTTATAAAGCTGAAACTTTTCCTAGTGATTCCCTTAGGTATATAAATCACGTAAAAAAGTGCCGTCATGTGTGGACATTAAGCCTTTCACAGATAACTTCAATACACGAATCTATGATTCAACTAACAGGTGTATTGGCAAACTCCAGTGAGCAACGTGAAGAAATTGGAAAGTCGAGAACAAAACAAGATTACGAAGAATGTAAAAAGTTTTATGAGTGGTTACTTGATCGAAACCCATTCTGTATTCCTGACAAAAATCTCCACTCACTGTCAACTAATATGGTATCATTTACTTATAAAAATGTAAACTGTGAGCTTGCTGAAGAAGTTAGTAAAAGTATTCAGAATGGGTTGTATAACGTATTTTTTGAAGACGCAACAATTAAAAGAAAAAATCAAATCATAACATTGGACTCGTTGCTGCATGCAACGACTAAAAAGTAGTAAAGAACCAATAGGAGAACCAAGCATAATCTTTAACTGGCTAATAACTGTTGCTGCACGTAAAGATGATTTAGAATCTATATTTGAATATGAATTAACTTATGAGCCTATGTCACTTTTTAAACAAGGCATGATGAGAAAGCCAGAAAAACATCGCAAAGTAATTATGCGCGACGAAGATGATGTTAAATATAAAGATATCAAGACTCCAAACCACTATGTTTTAGATGGCGGTATATTGTTACATAGAGTTAGATGGTTTAAAGGAATGAAATTCAATGATGTAGCAGATATTCAAATTTTATATAAAAAATTACCAGGGATTCGTCACGGATATTTTTGACGGCTACCAAGATGAAGGCATAAAGAGTCACGAGCATCTACGCAGAAATTCTATTCCACAAAGTTGCAATGTAGTAATTAACCAAGATAAACTCTAAGTATTATTGTAAAAAAAACCAATTTCATAAACTTTCTTTCACATCATTTAAGTTTATTGGGGTATTTGGCTGTAAACTGCCTTGGTGATGCTGATAGTACTGTTATTAAAACCGCTTTTAATGTCGCAAACACAAGCTTGCAGCATGTAACTGTTGTGGCGAATGATACAGATATCGCAGTAAAACTTATTCATCATTGGAAAAGCAACATGTCTGGTATTTGCAAGATAAATGGGATAAAGCTTAAAGTATTAAAGATGCTTGTTTAAAAAACAAAACCATAAAACAACATCTGCTCTTTGTCCATGCATGGTTGGGGTGTGACACTGTTTCGTCAGTGTTTAGAAAAAGTAAAACAAAACTAGTTGAAAAAATCTTGGACGAGAAATGGAAAAAAGTATCAGAAGTTATGACAAGTCCATCGAGTAATCAAGAAGAAGTTGGAAACGCCTCCTTTGAAGATTTTATTTTGTTATATTGAGGAACAAAGGGAAGCACACTTGCAAAATTGAGGTAATTATTTTCCATTTAGCATTATATAAAAATAATTATCTTACTTAACTTTATTATTGATTTTAGGTATAATAAATACATCGATTTACCATGCAAGGGTATAATATTGCTAGAGAAACTTCCACCTACTGATAACGGTGCTTACTTCCATGGCCTGCGCGCACATTGTCAAACAATGTTATGGTCACTAAATAATGACATTGAACTAGATGCAACTGAACAGGGCTGGAAGCAACACGACGGAGTTATCACACCTATAATGAACGATAAAGACATTGCGCCAGAAGCACTAACAAAGGTCATTAGATGTAATTGCAAGGTTTGTTTTGAAACTAATGTATTTTTTCAAACTCCTTGAAAAGATCTTAGAAAAAAGACGTGTTCACTCATCATTTATCTTTATTATCACATATAAATATTTCTACAAAATATCAGTCGTATATTTGCTTATTTATTTCCTGTAGAGTAATGAAAGTGAAGAAGAAAACGAAATGGAAAATTATGAAGATGACGATAGGATTATATTATGTTTCCCTGGTTTCTAAATCAAGAAATATAAATTTAAAAAAAAAGCAATTTAATTTAGATTTAATTAAATGTGACAAATGACCATTTTAATGAAAGTTTTTATTAAAACTTTCAAAAAAAAATTGCTTAATGTATTATTTATAGCATTTATTTATTAAACAACTAGTCGCCCTTTCATTTTAAGACCTTAGTGTGTTTCAAAAAGTTGTTTAGCATAAAAAATGCTTTAAAATGGTATATATTAAGTCAATTTTCAAAAAAATATTTTTTTGACGATTTTAGGTATTAGTCATTTAGAAATTGGGCCCGAAAAAGGGGGTTCTCCTATTGGAAATTGTTGGGTTTTTTTTTTTACGTGATCTTATACCTTAGGGAATTACTGGGCAAATTTTCAGCTTTATAAAAAATTTTTACCGAAAATAATCTTATTCGACTGGACCAATTCATTGAATTGAAAACTTATTGGATTGAGTTTTTAACCTCTTTTATCGCACTAGGTTTATCTAATACTTTTGATGCATTAATATCAAACATGTTTAGATTATTTTCACATTTCTCCGTTTCATTTTTTTTGACTGTAACAACTTCAAGATGTTTTCTTTTTTGCCTGACAAGAAAATGCTAAAGTTTTTTATGTTTTCTTTGCTTATGGGATATTAAGGCTGATGTTGATCATTAGAAAAATTTTATTTTCCCACTAAATGGAACTACAGCAAAGATTGTTCAATATTCTCAAGCAGGCTCTCGTAGGCTCGCGTAGGCTCACGTAGGCTCACGTAGGCTCACGTAAGGCTCTCGTAGGCTCACGTAGGCTCACGCAGGCTCACGTAGAATCCAAGAAAGTCTTATTACCTACACTTCATATCATAATAGGATTTAAAAACAGTTTGTAAAAGCTTTAAATTTTAGAGGAGAAAAAATTTGTCTCTTGTTTTTAAAGCTAAATCTAAGGTAAAGATCAAATATGGTGTGTTTGTTGGATTCTAAATAAAATGTGGTGTGTTCGTTGGACCCCATATAAAATGTGGTGTGTTCGTTGGACCCAAATAAAAGCAACGTTGAATTAAGCGAAGCTCAAAAAAGCTATGGAAAAATAGAAAAAAAAGTATGGTTTGTATTATGTAATGTCGCTTGTGGATTTCTAGAAAATGAAAAATATAGAACTCTAATGACAAACAATTGGTTGCAAAGCTTATTAAAAAATTAATGAAACTGGGTTGTTGTAGGTCTGTAAAGGACATATGTTGCATTCACACCTAGGTTTCTTCCCCGAAAACATGGGTGATGTCAGTGGGAAGCATGGTTGGATTTTCATTTCATTAAGACATAGTAAAAATGAAAAGTAGATATCAAATATGATGAGTGTTTTTCGGGTATTTTTAAGGTATTTTGTTTTATAGACGCAGCGGAGAATACATAGAGTTTTTGGCTATGGCAGGCACTCTTTTAATCAAAAGAAAACTCTTTCAAAAAAGAAAACTCTTTTTGAAACTTGAATCACAAATTAAGTATACAAAATACATACCGGAATAAACGTAGTTGTTATGTTTATAGAAAAGTCAAAAGCCAATCAAAAGTACAGTAAGTTAAAATTTAGTCAATCAAAAGTTGATTTAAATGTCGATCAAAAGTTGAGAGTAGTTTGTTGAATTTTGATTATTTTAAAAAATTAATTGTTCATGTTATAATTTAATGTAAATATAAAAAAGCAAAAGCTCTCAATTGAAAATCAAAACAATTATGATTTACGATTTTAAAACTTAAAAATTGAGTCTAGCTATTCTGCAATATTACAATAAAAAAATTGTTTACAATATAGATAACCAGAGTTGTTAATCCTTCGTCTCCATTGTTTTGGCCTTGACCTTGATTGTTTTGGCCTTGGCCTTCAAAAAAATATTTATAAAATTAAAAAGTTACAAGTTTTCATTATTTATTTTTATTATTATTATTATTATTTTTTGGCTTTCATATATATCTACACGTATGTTTTCTTATCGATTTTGTTGAATTCTGCGCATAACCTCGGTCTAATTTCACAACATGTGAATTTATTGTCTCAGCTTTTGCTACCTACAGTTTTGTTAATAATTGGCCTATTAACGTAAGACAAAAATTTAAGTCTTTGGTCTTAAAAATGTTAGCGTAAGCTTTGGCCTTAAAACTCTTATACTTGGCCTTGTCCTTGGCCTCCTAACTTTTGGCCTTCGTCTTTGCCCTTGGCCTTGAAACTTTTGGCCTTAGCTTTGTGTTATGTGGCCTCGGTTTTGCTACTTTTGGCCTTGTGAACAACTCTGTAGGTAACATTTCGATAACTATTTATATTGCACAAGAAATCTTAAAGGAGATATGGGTCAACATGATTTAAAAAACTCAGTTTTTCTAAATATCTTTGTTTTGAATTGGAATGAAGCTAAGACAAATATTCGCTTTCTGTAGACATTGCCAATCTTATTTGATTTTTTTGTTGTTGTTGTTGTCAGGGGGCGAAATACTGCGCACGCGTACCGCACGCGCAAAGCCGTTTGTAATTTTATTTACGGCTCAGTTTAAAATTCGAGTGTAAAGATACTTGTGAAAACTGTCTTGTTTTATGAAAATTTATTTTGCTAATCGAGGCTTGAAAAACAATCAAAAATTAACACGTCCACATGTATACTGGGAAACTATCATATTTATTATAATATTTATTTGTTATTTTTCACTCAAATTTTTTACTGGAAATAAATTAAAATAATTTGTTGTTTTTTTTTATGTGCAAAAGTAATCTTTTTTCTTAAACTTAACGCATAACACCAAAATAAAAAAAAGCTAATAAGTTGTCTCAAATCCGCAAACCTATAAAATTACTATTAACCAAGTATTGGAACCATAAAAAATAAATTTACTTCATTTTGTAATTTAAATATACATTAAGCAAAACGAGTAAAAAAAAACAGTAACTTTATTTATTTCTCTGTTTTTTAATAAAAAGGGAAACGTTTGGCTGTATATACTTTCAAAATTCAGTTTTGTTATTTTAAATTTAAAATTTTTTAGTATTTATATTTGCTTTTTTATTGCTGTTTAAGTATTTTTTCAAATTTTCATTTAGTGCTTATCTTATAAATATTTTTTCAGAACTACAACTAACTTATAGTAGATGATATGCTTCCTATAACATTATATGACAAAAGTGATGATTTTAAACCTAAAATTAAATTTAGGTCACGCATTTTTCGATGGATAAGGTAAGCCTCTTTTTTATTATTTTGTATTTATAATAGTTCCAATGGTATTTTATTAAAGCTCTCATTTGATATTAGAAGTTAAATACTTTTATTTTTTCTCTTTTTTTTCTTTAACTTAATGAATTTTTTTATTATATAATTTATGTAAAGTTTAGCTGTTTAGTTTTAATATATTTAGTAAGTTTTTTTATTGTTATAATGAACAAGTATCAATAGTTATGAAATTTGGTAGTGGGACAAGAAACTCAAACAACCACAAAAGTATAGCTTTTTAATAAACAATTTTTTAAATTTATTGTACAAATTATTTAAAAAGTATACAGTATGAAAAAAAAAGTAATTATTTGTTGTTTTGGCAATTTATCATTTTTATTCACATCTATATTTCTTTGGGTTTTTGGGTGCCAACCCTGCTGTACTGATTCTCAGAGAAATTTAGCTGTCTATCTAGTCAATCAGGGTAAAACCTAATTTCAGGTGTAGCAAGAGACTGGAATTCCTCATAATACAGTGTCCGACATAATGATTAAGTATAATTTGATCGCAACAACAGCTACAAAAGAAGGGCAGGGGCGCAAAAAAAAGACTTCCAAGAGTTTTGATAAAAACTTAATTATACAAGTCAAGAAAAATTGCTTCCTTTCTGCTCAAAAACTGGCTGAGCAAGCTGAAGGGAATTATGAAATCAAATTATCCCATCAGACAATCAAAAATCATATCTGAAAGCAGGGATGACTTGTGTGTAATAAACCATATTTGAGTAAAAAACACATAAAAAGAAGATTGGAGTTTGCTAAGAAGTTCAAAAACATGCTGTTAAGTTTCTGGAAAAAAATCTTATGGAGCAACGAATCAAAGTTCCACTTAATTTGATGGATCTGATGGAGCTCAAAATTTTTTGGAGAAAAGCTGGAGAAGCCTACAAATTAAGCTGCGTGAGAGGAACTGTCAATTATGGTGGCGGTAACATGATGGTATGGGGTTCAATGGCTTGGAAGGGTGTTGGAAAACTCCAATTTATTGATACTATAATGGATCAGGCACAATACCGAAACATATTAAAGCAAAATTTGATGTCGTCTGCTCAAAAAGTTTGGCTAGGATCTGATTTTAAATTTTGGCAAGATAACAATCCCAAGCATAGTGCCACTAAAACCAAGGAGTGGTTTGCTGAAAATAATGTTGAGGTCTTGGAATGGCCTGAACAATCACCGTACCTAAATCCCATTGAACAATGGTGGGAAATTTTAGGTCGAAAAATTGGAGATCGGTCATTTTCCAAAAAAGATAACCTCAAAGTGGCAATTGAAGAAGACTGTGAAAAGATTCAACCAAATCTTTAGTTGAATCAATGCCTAGATGTCTAGATGTAATCCAAGCAAAAGGAGGCCCTACAAAGTATTAAAATAATTGTTTTGTTATTTAATAATTTATTATGAAACAAAAACTGTGTTTGGTCAAATATTTTTTTGACAAAAAAAAAACAACCTAAGTTCCTTCATTTTAAGACTGAAAACTTTTTGATTGATATTTTTCACTAAAATAAATAAAATCTATTTAAAAACATGTTCTTTTATTTTTATTAATATTGAGTTTGCCAAAAAAGTTAAAATTTTCAAAAATTCAGCGATTTTTTTAAGAAAAATATTTTTTAATTTGTTTGGTCAGAAAATTTTCGAGACGCATGCATTTATAATATATATATTTACATATAAATATATATGTTTACATATATATTTGTTTACATATATATCTTTTTTGATCTTTATTGCAACAACCGTGCAATAAAAATCTAAAAAGATTTTTATTGCACGATTGTTGCAATAAAAATCAAAAAAGAAAAATCCGCAAATTTTCAAGACACATGCATTTATATATATATATATATATATATATATATATATATATATATATATATATATATATATATATATATATATATATATATATATATATATATATATATATATATATATATATATTTACATATAAATATATATGTTTACATATATATGTTTACATATATATCTTTTTTGATTTTTGATGCAAAAACGGTGCTTTTTAAAAAGCATTTCAATATATTATGTAATTAATTTTTTCTAAATGACATTGTGTTTTTTATTTTACTTAAAATGATAATTATACTTTTATGAGAAAAATTATACTTTGCGAGAGCGGTAAATAGCTCTCGTAAACCGTTTCAGGGTAGTGTGGGCAAGAGCGAGAGCTAAAGTTCTCGATTCCCGCTGAGGCCTGCATATATATTATGTATATATAAATATATATGTATATATATAAAATATATGTATGTATACCAGGGCTGTGGAGTCGGAGTCGCAGAGTTGCAACAATTTTACCGGAGTTGGAGTCGCTAAAAAATATCGCGACTCCGACTCCGATAGTAAAATTTCTTGGTATTGCACATACATGTACAAAACATTCAATTAACCTTATGTTCATGCTAAACATCAAAGAATGTTTCATAAATTTGTCAAAAAAAAAATTTCAACTTACCGGGAAATGTTTTTTAAAGAATTCAAAGAATTTTTCAAAATTTTTGCTTTGGAGTCGGAGTTGGAGTCGGAGTTGTACTCAAAAAATTTCAACAACTGGAGTCGGAGTCATTACTTTTTTTTTACGACTCCACACCCCTGATATATGCTCATACTTGATATATGCTTATACATATATATATATATATATATATATATATATATATATATATATATATATATATATATATATATATATATATATGTATATATATATATATATATATATATATATATATATATATATATATATATAATCTTTAAAAGTCATTTTCTTGTTATACGATAATAATAAAATATGTAAAATTTAATAAAAAAACGGCTGCGTATAAACTTTTTTAAAAATATATATTTGTTTTTTTTTAATATATTTTTTCGATATTTCGCTGATCTATTGTGATCAGCGTCATCAGGTGTAATAAATAAAAATCTTTACAAAGAAAATTGTTGTAATAAAAACTAACCCTTAAAAAGATAACGTTAAAAAGAGCATAACAAAATAAATAGCTTTAAATGTTGACATCAAATAATCTAACAAAAAATGGCCCCCAAGTTTTTGTCGTCACTTAATCACCATCATCCCTATTTAAAACTTTTTCATCACTTCCAAGTTTTTGTCAAACTTTGGCTCTGTTTACATCAAGTGACTCTCGAATTTTCCGAATATGATACTCTGGAGCGCCTGAACTGGCCCATTATCCTTTAACACTATTTTTCTGGTGTTCAATACATCTCGATATAACTTTCTTATTAGTTTCTCCAATGTATATAGAATTGCATGAACATTTTAGTTGGTAGACGCTTGGGCTTGTATTTGGAGGAAGTTTTGTTATATTGTTAATAAAACAACAACAAATGTTTCTAAATATCCTAAACAAACAAAACACTGCCATAAAATACACTGTTTAACTCGAAAACCACCAAAAACAACTTAACTTTCTAGATGTTAATATTACAAACACAATGCATGGAGCTTATGAATTTCAAATACATCGAAAAGAAGCAATAACTAATATTCAACTAAAACCTAACTCAAACATCTATCCTAATATTATTACTGGCGTATTCAAAGGGTTTTTATGTCGTGCAAAGAGATTATGCTCTCAAAAATATCTTAAACAAGAAATTGATTCTCTAATAGAAATATTTGTTGAAAACGAGCACAACAAGAACTATCTAATTAATATCGCTAGAAACTTTCAAAAAAATAAATTAAAAAATACCAATTATAAACCAACTGACAACCAACCATTTATAAAACTACCATGGATACCAATCGTTGGTCCCAAACTTAGAAAGGAACTTAGAAAACAAAACCTAAAAGTTATATTTACATCCGCTCCAAATTTAAACAACATTTTATGCAACAATATAACAAAACTTCCTCCAAATACAAACCCAGGCGTCTACCAACTAAAATGTTCATGCAATTCTATATACATTGGAGAAACTAATAAGAAAGTTATATCGAGATGTATTGAACACCAGAAAAATAGTGTTAAAGGATAATGGGCCAGTTCAGGTGCTACCAAACATTCCAAATCATGCCAGGGTACATTTGATTGGTTACATCCCAAAACCATATCAATCGCTCCAGAGTATCATATTCGGAAAATTTGAGAGTCACTTGAAGTAAACAGAGCTAAAGTTTGACAAAAACTTGGAAGTGATGAAAAAGTTTTAAATAGGGATGATGGTGATTAAGTGACAACAAAAACTTGGGGGCCATTTTTTGTTAGATTATTTGACGTCAACATTTAAAGCTATTTTGTATTTTGTTTTGCTCTTTTTAATGTTATATTTTTAAGGGTTAGTTTTTATTACAACAATTTTCTTTGTAAAGATTTTTATTTATTACACCTGATGACGCTGATCATAATAGATCAGCGAAATATCGAAATATATATATATATATATATATATATATATATATATATATATATATATATATATATATATATATATATATATATATATATATATATATATATATATATATATTTAAACAATTTTTAAAAATTGAATTCTACAAAGTAGAGTGCTCAATGTTCTTAAAAGAACAGAGCAATTATAAATTAGTAGAAAATCACTATAAATTATAATAGTATAAAAATATATTATAATAGTATTAAAATATAAATATATTATAATATATTATATTATAATATTATAAATATATATATTATAATAGTATAAAAATATAAATATATTATAATAGTATAAAATGTAATAGTAGAAAATCACTATAAATTAGTAGAAAATCACACAAAATTTTTTTCCTTTTACACTGTGTTTCATCAACAAAGACTCATCAGAAATGAATGATCAAATTAATAAATCTTCAATTTATACCAAAAAATTAAATTACAGGAAGTCACAAATGTTTTAACTACTGTAAGTTTTCACACATTTGTGGAATTTGGTGACACTATTATAAAAAGAATTCTTCAGAATCGATTACTTATGCTTTTTTTTTTTTATAAAAATATTTTTAAAAAAGGGGGGATTTAATGTAACTATTATTTAAGCTCACTTATTTTTATAGTTTTTTAGGAGAAACATTTTTGTGGCTGCATTTAGAAATCAATTCCGATTTTTTGTTTAACAAACATTCTTGGTTTGCATGTGTAATTATTTGTAATTTTTCTTGTAGACATAGTATGCATTTTTTAGAAATATTGTTGTATGCAGGCGCTGTTCTAAGGATGGACCAATTCAGTATAAAATCATCAATATTTTTATCTTTTAGTTCCCATATATATTTTGACAGCATGGTGTCTTTTGAATATTTTTTATTTTTAAAAGATTGCTTATGATTGGCAAAACGTTTTTTCCATTCACCCTCTGTTATGCCAATATATTGTTTATCGGGTACATTCTTAGAGGAAACAACACATTTATATACCACATTTTTTGATAAACAACTTCCACTCATTGGACAATTGTTTTTTTGTTTACAATTACAATTTTCTGTAGTTTTTTTATTTAGGATTTCTTTTTTATTTAACAAAGCATTATTGTGACTTTTTATAATTCTTTCCATATTTTTTGTGCAACTGTAGCTAACTTTAATTGTATTTCGATTGAAAATTTTATGTAATTTATTAGAGGGAGGGAAATGCTTATCGACCAATTTTAAAAACACTTTTCCTATATTAGTGGAAACATTTTTGCTATATGGGGGGGGGGGGGGTTGAACCAAATTACATTTCTAGTTCTGTTCCGGTTTTTTGTATTCTTTTTATCAGAGTCAAATTTTAGTTCAAAATTTTCAAAACCACTTTTTTTAAGGGCATCTTTAAATATTTGTTTGGAGGAATTAAATACATTTTCATTAGAGGAGTTTTGGTTTAACCTGTTATTAATTGAAATCGGGATTTGTTTTAGAATTTGTGGTGGATGATTTGAGTTAATATTAATATACAATAATTCATCGTTTGGTTTTTTGAAAGGCTTATATGAATTTTCAGAGAGGTTAAATGTGACATCAAGAAAGTTCACAATTTTTAAATTTATGTTTATTTCAATTTGAAAGCTAATATTTTAAAAAATTTTTATAATATCTTTTTGAATCTTATCGAGCTGTTGACCAGATTTTTTACGCATTTCTATTAAACCATTGTCGCGATAAAGGCCTAAATCATTTATATTGATTATTTTACTTAATAAATCTAAAACGTATAGTCCAACAAACTCACAAATTTCTGCTCCGTCATAACTGCCCATTGTCACATCAAAGCAGTCATGTATGTTTTTCTTTTTCCAAGTTTCCTTATTAAAGTAAAGTAAGGTTTTTCTACAATGTTTTATACGAATTGTTTCTTCAGGAATAACTGTGTGGCTCTTTGCAAATTCGATTGTTTTATTTAAAATATCTGCAGTTATTGAAGGGTAAAAATCATTAATGTCAAATTGAATAAATGTAAAGTCATCTTTATTTTCGATTATGGAGAACCAATTTATAACATCAGTGGTAATTTTCCACTGTTGCAAATTTAATTTATTTCTAAGAATTTTATTAATTTTGTCCAATTTAATTTTGCTTACATGTCCAATCTCTCTTTTTGAGGCAACCAATAACCTACAAGGAAGTTTGTTTTGAAAGTTTGGTTTATGGTCTTTTAGTGTTACAAAGGCTTGGGCAGGGGCAATATATTCGATTCTGTTATCAAGGTTTATTTTTTTAGCAATACTTTGGGCTTCTAAATTAATTGCATTTTCCAAATTTTTAGGGGCTTTCTCATAAGAACTAGTAATATTGTCGCGTAAAATTTTTTCATAGTTTTCTGTTGTGAGTTGGTAAATATTATTTGTTTTATCAGCAAAAACCAAAACATTTGGGTTTGATTTAATTTTTTTAACATCTAACTTTAGTTCTGTTTAAAATTTATTTTTTATAAAAAATGGAAGTATCTCACCTTTTTTTTTTTTAAAAAAAAAATACTTCCATTTTTTAAATATAATTAAATTTTAATCAAAATAAATGTTCTTTTTTTGCTGGGTGTTATAGTTATAGCAGTTGTTTAATTTTAATGTTTAATTCTGATTATTTATGCTTGTTTCATTATGAACAATCTTCTAAAGTTTTCATTTTTAAATCGTTTCTCCTTTTTGTTTGATATACTTTAGCCGTTTTTCAAAACGCCCTAATAGACTTATTATGTATTTCGAGAAAAACGTAAATAAAAAAAGTTATTTGGAGAAACTCTTTGTAAAACGCTTTTTGAAACTAATAATTTTTATGAATTTAAATTTAGAACTCTTTAAAAATATGTATTTAAAAACGTTTGTAGAATCTAAACTAGCTTATTTGGTAAAAAAAAGTCAAATTGATTTTTTTTTTACATAAAACGCTTGGAAAAACGGCTGCAGTAAAGAAGAGAGAAAACAAGAACTAAAGACAATTGTTTGCTGTTTTTAATGAATGTGTTGTTAAATTTCATTAAAACTTTGATCTAGATTAATTGCAGTTTAAATATACAGTTTTAAAAGGTTTAAACGATTAGTTCTGAAGAAATATATTTGACTATATAAATACTTTAGTATTTTAAAATACTTAAAAAACTTTTTTACAAATGTCAAATTTTTATCATTAGATAAATTTAACAGTTTAAAAACTTATTTAAATCAATAGCTTTTAAATGAAAATTAAATGAAAGTTTTCGAAATCTTAATAACTTTTAATTGAAAAACTTGGTTGGCTCGCCAATTTCCGTCAAGTATAATGTTTGTTAAAAGAACTTTTGTTGCAATATGTTACTTTAATTTAAATAAGTAACAAAGACATATAGGGGGCAAAGCGAGATTCTTTCACTGCACGAGGGCAGCAACTAAATTTAATTGGCGTATTTTAAATATCTAGTAAATTAGGTATTTAAATTAAAAAATGTATTTAAATACAAAATTATTATTATTATTATTATTATTATTTTTTCAATTACATTCATTAAATATTTACATAAAGTTTGTATTTGTAAATTAAAAAAAGAATTTTGTGTTTATAAATATTGGTTAATAATTAATAATATTATGATATTATTTAATTATTTTCTTTTGCGTTTTACGTAAATATAACATAAATAATACGTTTCATTGCAAGTTTTATTTTTGATTATTTTTGTTGTTATTTTCAATTTACTATACCTGCTAATTTATTTTACTGAGAGTATTAATAAATCTTTTATTACAAAAACGTTATTAACTTATTTTAAAGTATAATATTTATTATTATGCAAATTTCTTTGTAACTTTATTAACTTAAGATAAACAGCAAAAACATAAATAAAGAGTTTTTAAAAAATAAAAATAAATTAATAAAATAGTTTATTAAACTTTAAAAAATCTAAACTCAAAATTAACTGGCATCAATAAAAATTAAAATAAAAAGTTTTTTTAAACTTTTGAACAAATGACCATGTGTGATCAATGTTAATGATCCCCACCACGTTCCTGGTAGTACCGCGCTCAACTTGTTTCTCTGCGCAGCGGCATTGTTGGTTTCGGGGTCATAGAGTTGATTGAGGGTTATAACCACTATTAAGTAGCCTCCTCCTCTGTAGTGGCCTTCTCGGCCTTCTCGGAGGTGAATAACAAAAAAAAAAAAAAAAAATGTATGGTTGCTTATTAATGACGACACGTTTTTACACATTAAAAAAAACAATAAATTTAATTCATTTTTTTGTCATGCTTTTAATTGCGTTTTTTACTTGTCTAGCGCGACACTTAAAATCTGAGACTGATTTAATTAATAAATGTGTGTGTATACATAAATATAAATATATATATATATATATAAATATATATATATATATATATATATATATATATATATATATATATATATATATATATATATATATATATATATATATATATATATATATATCTTTATTTTATTTATAGTATATCACTTATATTTTGGCTTTAATTTTAGATCTGTTTTCGAAGACAAAACATCTAGGAATATTTTCTGTTTTCTCATGCTCAATTTGATGTTTGCATTTGTGGAATTATTTTATGGAATCTGGACTAATAGGTAACTTAAAGGCTACAAAAAATATAAAATATTAAATTAAGGATATTTTTAGGGGTCTATTGAGCTACAGTGTTTTAATACTTACCCCCTGGGTTCATACATCTAATGGAAATTAAACTTTCTTCAATTTTGAAATAATGTATTAGTAAAAATATCCTTGATAAATAAATTTTTTGTATTCTTTATAATTTGTTATTTTATATTTTACTTAAATTTTGCATATAGTGTTTAAAAATTTGATTAAAGAAAAATTATTTTGAATTACTTAAATTACTCATTATTATTGAACTATTTTTTCTATCATTGAAAAACATTTTTAAGAAAAATTTCAGAACTTAACAAAATTAACATTATTTAATTTTAATTTAAGCAACATAAGTATATATAAACATAAGTATATACAAACATACTCATGCTTAAATTAAAGTTAAATGATGTTAACTTTGTTAAAATCTGAAAAAATAGTTCAATAATAATGAATGATTTAAGTAATTTAAAATAATTTTTCTATAATCAAGTTTTTAAACACTACATGCAAAATTTAAGCAACAAATGGGGTACACATAGCTATATATATAAATTGATGAAAAATCGCTTGATAGCTCTTAAAATACTTTTCTCAATGAAATTTTTTGTGTCCAGGGACCTAAAAAATACCATAAAAAGCAAAAGCAAAACTCACTTTATTACATGAAAGTGATTATTGCTTTTGTTAAAATGGGCTGGAGATTAGTTAATGCTTGGTCAGCCGTTGTAGTTGTCTTTAGAGTTGAGTTTTTTAACTTAGATATTGCTAAAAATTTAAGTAACAAAAATGGATGGTAGGAACCACTGCAAAAGGAGAATCAGATAATTCTATCATTGCAGAAATTATTGTGCCACAACTTAAAAATGTTTTCAAATGTGATCCAATTAATACCAACAGTTTAAAAAGACACAACTAAGCTCTGTTAAAGTCTATGAAAAGCGTCAAAGTATAATCCATAAACCAGCTGCCAGAAGGTACAAAGGGTATAAATTCAATTTAACTTTTGTTCTTCTTCAAAAATTATTATTGGAAAAGTATCTTCAAAAGTATTTTTGCAAAGATAAACTTTGCAATAATACTTCAGATTTGCTTGTAATTGCTAATAATGAGAATTGCCTAATATATAGAGAGATTTTAACACTTTCAAAGTAAAAATGATGGTCTAATTTTAAGTTCATTTTTACAATTATTTTCAAAAAAAAGTTGTAAAAATGGACACTTTTTTTTTGGATATGCTGTTTATAAAATTATAATTATTTTTGAAATTTTTATAAAATTTAGCTTTATTTGAGTCCTAACATGACTTACTTTTAAATATTTAGGGGTCTTATGGCACCCCTAAAAATACCCCAAAACAGTTGAATCAAGAGTCTGCTAGGCAGTTATATAGCATTTGAAGAAGATTTCATTACTAATTGTTGCATGTGCAACAATTATAATGGTCAAAAAGATGCGAGAGATTAAGTTTATTTATCATTATTGATCAAGTTAAGTTCCAAAATCATTTGCTACTAACCAATGGTAAATTTTAAAGTAAAGTGATTAAGTTATATATCATATGGTAAAATAAAAAAATAAAGTCATGTGATGACTCTAATACAAATGTTGGAGCAGAAGGTGGAATTAATCATTTGGTTAAAGTAAACATTAAACATGTTTTACATTAAAACATTTGCCTTCTGAATTCAAATAAACTGCCAGTAAGACAGAACTAGACTATGTGGACAACCACATTCAGATCTTTTGAATCACCCTATTATCTGATACACTTTGGTTGTTCTCAGCCTGTATGTGAATTGCTAGATAAAGTTTAAAAAGATTTGTTGACAAATCAAAAGTTTATGGGGAGGTTTACACTAGTATTGGTTTCTGATTAATTTGATAAAGATATCCAGTGGCTGAAGCTAAGACCATGTAGTTACAGTGGATGGCTGACAAATGCATTCTGTATTTAGGAGCATTATGTTAATACAATCAAACCATCAATATTTACTAACATTTTAGTGAGATATATTGTAAATTTTTATGCGCTTATATGATTAACTATAAAGTATCATAAACTTGGAATTAATGTTCTCAAAATCTGTTTTTCTTAATGCTCAATGCTCTCAAAGTACTAATTTAATAGAAGATGAAGCTGCTAAAGAAGTAGTACAACAGTGCATTTAACAGAATGCTTTTTATGTCTAAATAAAGATCATTCTGCTTGCTAAGTTAGCCTCATTCCATAAACCAGACTGCAGAGATGCTGTAAAAGTAATCATTGAAGCCAGAGCTAAACACAAAGATAAAGCTTAGGTATGTCTTCTCCATGTACCTGAACTGGATTTTGAAGGAACCAAAATTTAAGTAACAATTAAGTGGAGTATAATAGATACTTATAAAGTGAGCCGGAAGGAGGTTACTATAACAAGCCAGATGGTAAATGGTATAATCTTACCATAAAAAATCTTTATGGAGAATCAAGTTTCTGGCAAAAGAAATTAAGCTTTGCACATTTATAAATTCAAGTCGTATTGGCAAAACTGAACTAAGTGCTGAAGTCATATGATAAATGTGTAAAATAAAGAAAATGCAATTCACTGAATGAAGTTTTGACATCACAAAAAAGAGAGAGAATGGCTCTGCTGTGAGAACAAAAGATTGTATCATCTTTAGATTGAAAGCAAAGCACAGGTTGGTATACAACTGGGAAGGATGCTAGTTCAAAAACTATATATCCATCGAAAAAAAAAAATTCTTAAAGCCTACTTTAACAACAGTAACAGCAACAGCAACAAAGTTAACTTGCAAATGCGATTCTGAGGCAGAATATCAAGAGTCTAAAGATTCAGAAGAACAGTCCACAAGTATCAGCAAGAACTACAGCAAAACCAAAACTGCAACCAAATTAGTAACATCTTCAAAGTTAACCAGCTAACCATTTGTTTTTAGTTATTTCAAGATGGGATTGACATTCAGACATCTTCACAGCCTGGTATATTCAGATCAAATATAAAAGAAGCTGTTAAACTTATGGAAGAAACGAAGAAAACACTACATATAGAAAGCTGATCACTGCACTTTAATGGTAAAAATATTAGTCAACAAGAACATCAAGTGTTAGTGTTGAAAAAATCAGATACTATTCTTATAGGTGTAACAGCTATTCTCGATGAATGCACTTTATGGAATAGTATAAAGATGATTGTAGCAGACACTACAAGTTTAAACATTGGAAGGAGGAATGGAATTGCTTTAGTTAAGCTGAATATTACGCAACATTTTTTCTATATATACAGTAGCATTTCATGCTTGTAGAATTATTATTTAAATTTTTAATTTTATATTTATTTGTAATTTAGAGCATGACAATGTAACAACAAACTGTTAAATGCTTTAAAACTACATAATGACTCTCCTATTAAAAAATTAGAATTAAAAAATAGCATTATTTAAATTGTTTAAAATTTTATCCGTCCACAAATATGGTAAATTTGAATTCTTTTTTTTTTCGTTAACTATTATTCTAGTTTAATTCTTACTCCGGTTTACTCTGTATTGTATAAATTTGTTGATTTTTCTTTTTTTGATTATATTTTCAATTTGTAATTATTGATAGTTTTTATTGTTTAGTTTGGGATTGATATCAGACTCTTTTCACATGTTTTTTGACTGTACAGCTTTATTAACTGGTCTTATAGCAACTGTAATTTCAAGGTGGGGTAAAAATGAACGATACTCTTATGGGTAAGTACTTTTATTTTGTGACTTTTTTTTTTTACATACACAATAATAATAATAATATTATTAATATTATTACAACCCTTGGAATTAGGGTTGGCATTCGGCAATGCCAACCTAACTACCGATCTGAAAGTGTTTGAGGTCGGCAAAATATTTCCAACTTCGTTTTTATGTTTTATGATCAGACCTTTGTACCAAAAAATTTTTGCCCACCTCAAAAAGATTGAGGTCAGCAAGTTATTTCCAACCTCATTGTCCTAATGCCAAGGGTTGGTATTAAAAATATTATAAAATAATATAGAATTAACAGTGTTATTTGAATCTATTGCGTTGAGCAGTAAAATAGAATTTTTATTTTTTTTAATTTTAAATTATTCTCATTTCTTTTAGATATGTGCGAGCAGAGATAATGGCAGGCTTTATGAATGCTCTCTTTTTGATTTTTGTTGCTTTTTTTATATTTTCCGAAGCAGTAGAGGTTTATATTTAAATTTGTAGTTATGTTTATTATAAAATCTTTAATTATGTTAAATTGTGTAATTATGTTAAGTTATTTAATTAAATTCTTTAATTATGTAGGCAGTATATATTGTGTTTATATTTACGAAAGTTTAATTATTCATTGAAAAGTATTATATTTTAAGCGTGCATTCCATCCACCTCATGTAGAGCATGAGCGTTTGTTTTTAATTTCTGTCCTTGGTTTTTTTGTTAACCTAATTGGCATTTTTGTTTTTGGACATGGGCATGGTGATGGCGGTAAGATCCTTTTTAAATGAAATTTTCTATTATCTATTTTTATAATATTTGGCATCAATAGTATAACAATTTATTAATAAAAGTGAAAATAATTAAATAAAGATTCTTTTTTACCTATATTATAGTATTATATATAAGTTATACTTAGTTATAGTTTTATATATTGTATATAAGTTATAGGTTAATATTATATAAAAGTTACATTAAGTTCTAATTTATAGACCATAAAAAAATTTAAAGACCAATCTTATAGACCAAAAATAGTCTCTAGACTTTTTCTGGTCTGTGGATTCTGAAATTAAAAAGAATGTAAAATTTAACAAGAAAAGTTGATACGTGAAACTTATTTGTGTCAGAGTTTTTTTTGTTTTTAAGTTATTGATTTTGATTAAAAATGAAGTTAAATTAAAATAAAGTTATGTTTAAAATAAAATAAAGATATTATTTTGTATTTTACAAAATGTAATTTACAAATAAAATTATATATAATTTTATATTTGCAAAAAATGTTATATTTAATAAATGTTATATTTACAGAAAATGTTTAATAAATCTTATATTTTCAGAAAAAATTATGTTTAATGTAATATTTTCAGATAAAGCTTTACAAGGTATCAATGTCTGTTTGTAAATGGTTTTATAATTTTTTTTATCTTACATTAATTTTAAAGGTCATGGCCATTCACATGCTGGTGCTTCTCACGGACATTCACATGCTAGCTCAAACCATGGTCATTCACATTCTGCTCAAGTTTTATTAAATAACGAGTTTAATGACAACGATTATCATAATGATTTTCATATGAAGAAAAAAAAACCTGTTGATGGACATGGTCATAGCCATAGTGATCATGGTCATTCTCATAGCGGGAACAATCATGGACATGCTCATTCTATTTATGATACCTCTGAAAATATACACAGATCAAGTGATCAAATTATGCAAGGTATAGTTGTTAATTTATATTTTTAATTAATTATAATTTTTATATAAAATTTTTATATTTTATGTGATTTAAAAAGCGAGTGTAATAGTTTAATAATAATGCATACATTAATTAAGGGTTTAAACACAATCTACATATAAAAGATATTTAAATCTAAAAGTGTTTTCTAACTTATTAGATGCTGAACCTAAAATGGAAAAACACTTTTCATTTAATTGCATAAAACAACTTTTATTACCATAGAGATGTTTATAGATATGTGATTTTTTGTCTCTCTTATAATGTTCAGTTATCCGTGTCTTGAGATGGCGAGTAGTTTTGCCTATATAACAGGAGTTACATCCTGCACATACAAATTTGTAGACCGATTTGAACTCTAGAGATATAGGATTTTTAGAGGGGAAAAGTTTTGAAACTTTTAGTGTGACAAAAACTAGTTTAAAATTTACAGAACAGCAATATCTTTTAATAATTGAATTCAATCTTTTTTTAGTTAATTCTGATATTTTTCCTAAAAACTATAGTTTAAAGTAAGGCGAAGGTTCTTTGATTTTTGGTTGCGATGGATTGTTTGTGTTAATTTTGTTTAAATAAAATTTATATTTTTTCGATATTAGCCAAGATGGATACATGTTTCTTTGAAATACTTTGAAAAGGTTGTTTATGTCGGAGTTAAACCCTAGATTAGTACTATTGATTTTAATTGTTCTATTGATTAAGCATTTGATAAGACTCTGTACAAAAGTGAAGTGAAACTATAAAAGTTGGTGTGTAGATTAGAGTAGATTTTTTTATGAAAAATTGTAGTAGTTACTGTAGAATTTATTTTGTGTAAACTTACGTCCAAGAAGGATATTTTCAAGTTCACTTCTTGTTCCATGGTGAAAGAAATAGAATTGTCTACTATTTATACAATTAAGGAAAATACGTGCTTGATTTTCTGACTGAAAAGCAGCAAAAATGTCATCAACATATCAATTATAGAAAACTGGCTTAACACCATTGAAATTTTTAATCCAGTCATTTTCAAAATGACCCATAAACAAATTGGCAAGAACAGGTGCTAGTGGAGAGCCCATGGCTACACCATCTATTTGATCATAAGTATCTCCTTTAAAAAGAAAATGTGTTTGCGAGGTAGCAAAATTAAATAGTTTTTTTGAATCATTTTTAATAATTTTAATATTTTTATTATTAAGCATAATTGAATTAACTGCGATATCAGTGGTTTCTTGAAGCGGAACATTAGTATATAAGCTGGTTATATCATACGATACTAAAAATTGATTATCTAGATTAACCTGACTTATTTCTTTAACAAAGGAAAATGAATCTTTAGTGCAAAATTATGTGTTTATTAATGGAGATAAAAAATCTCTAAGAAATTTGGCTAATTGATAATTGTAGATACCAATAGATAATACAATAGGTCTGAAGTTTATAGTAGTGTCAGAGGAAGTTAACTTGTGCATCTTTGGTAGACCATAGATGCGAGCAGGATAGGATCCGGAAGGATAAATTCTATTGGATGTAGAATCATTGAAAAGACTTTTTGCTTTTAGTTTCCTCAGAAAGTTTTGAAGTTAAATTTCTCTATTTAAGGTTACATATTTCTTAAGTTGCTTAAATTTTGTCATTAATAATTTTATAAATACCATTTATGTAAATTTTTTTATCTAATATTACTACGCCATTACCTTTATCAGGTTTTAGAATAATAATATCCGGGTTATTTTAAATTTTTTATAATATTACGTGTTTTTTCAGAGTTTCTTGAGAAGGACGATAATTGTAAATATAAGACACCAATAACTGAACATTATAAGAGATATCTATAAACATCTCCATGGTAATGAAAATTGTTGGCCTTAAAAAAAAAAAATATTTTCTTATTGATTTTGCGTATAAACTTGATCTATTTTTCAAAAATGTGGTTTTATTGTCACGGCACTTGGTACTTACAGTTTTGTTAATAATTGACCTTAATGTAAGGCAAAAGTTGAAGTAATTGGTTTTGAAAATGTTTGCATAGGCCTTGGCCTTAAAACTCTTAATCTTGGCCTTGACCTTAAAATTCTTGTCCTTGTCCTTATAACGTTTGGCCTTGGTCTTGCTCTTGGCCTTGTAACGTTTGGCCTTGACCTTGCTACTTTTGACCTTGTTAACAACTCTGCAAAAATTTTGTTCATAAACATAAAATATTTTTCTCAATGTATAATTATTATTATTTTATGGTTTCGGTTTTTATAGTTTTTTAATAGTTTTATCATAATATATTGTAGTTTAAGCAATATCCATTATCCAAATTGTTTGTCCTTTCCGTAAATTTTTCTTTACCCAGTACAACATGGAAAAAATGTTCAAGTCCCTGTAGAATGGTTATATGTCTGTATACATATTTAGGTGTGTTTCTTCATATATTGGCTGATACACTTGGAAGTGTTGGCGTAATTATATCATCTCTTTTAATAGAACATTTTGGTAAGTTATGTTTGTTAACCATTAAAATATTTAATTTTATTATTTGTTAGTTTATAAGCAAAAAGTTTTGGTTGGTTTCTTTTTTTTTCTATTTTCTTTTTTATTTTCTTAATACTTTTTTTTTTGTGTTTGTTGAGATTTGTGTAATTATAAGTTTAATTTAAACTTTATTTTAAAATTACATTTTAATTTTTTTTTCATATATTATTTTGCATGAAAGATTTATTACAGTAGTATTTTGTACTGTGGCATAAAAAACAAAAGAATGTCAGAGTGATTGCAATTCTGCCGACGTGAAGTGTAATATTCATATTTTATTATTTAATTTCAAATTATTCTGCAAATTATATAAGGAATAGTTGTCTATACAACTATTCCTTATATAATTTGCAGAATAATTTGAAGTTTACAATTTTTACAGTGTTAAAATTTTACTTTTTTTTTAACTTTACAGAGTTATTCATTCTTATATGCGCATCTATTCATTCTTATATGCGCATCTATTCATACTTATATGCGCATCTATTCATACTTATATGCGCATCTATTCATACTTATATGCGCATCTATTCATACTTATATGCGCATCTATTCATTCTTATATGCGCATCTATTCATACTTATATGCGCATCTAATCATACTTATATGCGCATCTATTCATTCTTATATGCGCATCTATTCATACTTATATGCGCATTTATTCATTCTTATATGCGCATCTATTCATACTTATATGCGCATTTATTCATTCTTATATGCGTTTTAAAAAAGTAATTTGAACAAAAAAAATTATTTTACAAGTAAGCAATTTGTTTTGAAAAAACAATTTATTTTTTCAAAACAAATTTTTCTTATTTCCTGGTAAACGAAGTTAAAAATACTTAAAACAAAGACTTTTTACATTTGATGATGGCTTATTTAATTTAGTATTAGGTCTTTGTTTATTTTTATTATTATATTTGTTGATTGATTAAATTTTTATTTATCTAAATACTCATTTATCTAGATTTAAATTTAATTATTTATAGTTATTAAATAAATTTAGCGCTGACTAGGCAACCATTTTTTTAATAAATTGCAGTGGCAACAACAAAATTTATGTTTTAATTATATCTATCTAAAAACATTAAAAAATTAATGCCAATTTATTGTTTATATAAAATTATATTAGAGATTTTATGGGTGGTTGACTCGCATATAAACGCGCATATAAGAAGTAATAAATGCGCATATAAAAATGAATAAAGGTGCATATAAGAATGAATAAACACACATATAAAAATGAATAGACGTACATATAAGAATGAATAACCCTGTAAATAAGTTACATATTCTTTTTTTTTTAAAGAAATTTAAAAACTTATTCATTCTGTTTATGTACTACACAATAATGTGCTGGTAACAGATTAAGCACTTGAATGTTTTTGATTTGGTGCCAAGATACTCTGCTATTCAAGACAGAAACAAAACTTTTCTGCTATACTCTAAAGGATTTAGAATAATTAAGTAAATCAATTTGCTTATTCGACTTATTAATTAGTCTTATGTATTTTGTAACTTTGTCATAAATGCTGTCAATAATAATATTTTCAAACATATCGTTTGAAAAAAAATCAAACAAAAGTTTAACAACTTTAATGTTTTGTTTGAAAAAAGTTTTTCTATTATATATAACAATTAAAACCAAACAAAAGCAATAAGTAAATAAATTATGCACAATTAGTTATTTGAAACAATTGGAAAGAAAATAAAAGCAGGAATAATACTATTATGGTTTTATAATTGATATTATCAAATTAAAGATTATTTGAAAAATGATTTAAATGTTTGAGGTTTAACTATTTTTTGACTTCTGTAACAATAAAAACTTAGACATACCTAATATTATTTTGTTATATAAAGTTTTTTTAATATTTTCTTTTTTAAGTTTAAAAATATTCAAAGTGATTGTTTAATTTTTTTTTTTTTTTTAAACATCCTGATTAACAGACAACTTGAAATATTGCAAGTTGTATGAATCAGGAAAACAAGATGAAGGAAGTGAATTCCAAACTTATGGAATTCGCTTCCTTCATCTTGTTTTCCTGATTCATATAACTTGCAACCAAAAGCGAATTCGGAGTAAGAAAGTGGCCAGTATGACAAATAGATGTAACAAGAAAATGCTAATTTTGCACAATAAAACCTACTGGTTATTACTGTTTAAAAATCACCAGTAGATCAAGAAGATCAAAATGTATGTTGATGATCAGAAAGTAAGTTATTAGATTCAAGAGGAGAGATAAAGTGTTTGTTAAGACTAGATATTGTTTAGACTCAAAAACCTTACTTATAATAGGAAGAAAACTAACGGAATAGAAGTTAGACAAGTCAGATAGCTTTCCAGAAGTTTTAAAAATAGGGATAACAGATGCGGCTTTCCGGCCAGCTGGAAATTAAGACTGATAAGCATTTTTTTTTAAATAGTTTTGAAAGTATGGGTGACAGCTTCTGAGAACATTTCTGCAAAACTATAACAGGTATGTTGTCCAAACCACAAGCTGTAGAAGCAGGAGATCACTTTAGATAAAGAAGCTAGAGTGATATGAATGTCAAGCAATGGATCAACCTTTTTTTCGGCTATAGCAGGTGGAATGTAATTAATAGAATTAAGAGATGAGATTGATGAGATATTCTTAGCAAATAATTCAGCTTTGTCTTTAGGTGGGAAAATCTGAACCAAGCAAAAGAAGAGTAATAATAGATTATAGACACTTAAAGATTTTCCAAAAGTCTTGGAGCCTTATTTTAGAGATGAAATATGAGATTTTGTGAATAGCAGTGAACTTTGATGTCAGAAAAAACTTTTTTACAATGATTTCTAGCAGTAGTAAATAGACATCTGTTTCTGGAAAATTGTTTTGATTTACCAAGTGATAGATATGTAATAATGGGTACGGTTAGAAATTGCAGCAGCTCAATGATAAGAAAACCATGGAGAAAATTAAGGCTTGACTAAGAATCGTTTATAGGGAATTTAGAACAAATTTCAAACTTCCCTTTTCGCATACACCGTGAGTAAATTTGTCAAGTTTTATTTATTTTTTCTGAACATAAAATTATACATACAATTTGTTAAAGAAAAAAGTTATATTAATTTCATGCAAAAAGGAATTTATCAGATTCTCTAAAACAGACCAGATTTATAAATTAATGTTATGTTGATTCACTAACTACATGAACATCGCAAGAAAGTCTGACAGAACCATTAATACGCATATATTTAAGTTATGCTACTTTCAATGTATTATGAAGATTTAAATTCTTTAATTGTTTTAGTGTTTAATGCACTCTGAGGTAGATTATTCCACATTTTAACAACTTGAAGTCTAACAAAATTTTAGTGCTTTGGAAATCCTGGCACTAAAGTACACACTAATCTTTCTATATATCCCTGAGTGTGACCCACTGGACCATCAATTACAAGTGAACAAGCAGATAATGGCTTATTTTGCCAGGTTATTAGATTATAACCACTGATAAACCTAAAATATTGAATAAGATCAGTTCTTTTGAATAAGATCAGTTCTTTTAATTCTTTATTCGTGTGTTGTTAAACATAGTCTCTTGAGTCTTACATTGTATGGTAAGCGACCTATTGCAGATCTAACTTTTAATGCTCTTATTTAAATGTGCAAGAGTTAATATATCCTTTTTTAAATAGGTTGACTAAGCTTGTGTAGCAAAATGGAGGTGTGGATGGAGGCAGGTAGTATAAAGCGACTTTCAGAGAACCCTCTACTAACCCTCTACTTTTAAATGTTTGTTTTTTTAAGTACCAAGTACTTGATTCACTTTTCCAGCAGCTGCTTCAACTTGATTTTTTTGTTTAAGGTCATTGGAAATCAAAACTCCAAGATATCTCTAAAGAGGTTAATTCAATTTTTTGATTTTGTTCATGGTCACTATATCCAGATGTCTTTTCGTGTTTTTTTTTTAATTTAGTTTTAAAGGCCATTTTTTGCGCCATATGACTGTATTATCAATATCTTGTTGTAACAGATTAGCATCTTTTGGCATCTTAATAACTCTTATAGAACGATATTTGCTGCTAGGTAAACTATTGACACAGAGAACAGATAAAAGAAGGCCTAATACAGAACCCTGAGGTACACTGTTAGTAACATCTTTCTATGCAGAAATAAAATCACCCAATATTATTTTTTGTTTTCTGTTTCTGAGCTATACACTCCTATTTTTTAAATACGTCAGCGATGGGACATCCAGCGCTTTCTTCAAGCAGTGTACACCAGCAGTCCCAACCTTTTTGAAGCTGTGACCCCTTGATAACATTCGCTAAGTTGTGTCAACCCAAACAATAAAATTTAAAAAGTTGCTTATAAGGCACTGCTTTTTTTCTGCTAATTATTTTTTGTTGACTTCTAAACATCTGAGTTTTATATGTATATATATATATATATATATATATATATATATATATATATATATATATAAATATATATATATATATATATATATATATATATATATATATATATATATATATATATATATATATATATATATATATATATATATATATATATATATATATATATATATATATATATATATATATATATAGGCACTATATTTTTTTGATATAGTTTTTTTACAATTTATTTGTAATATGTTTATCAACAAAACAGTTATATGCTTTGGTTAATATTTGCAAAGGAACAAAATATTTGCATTGTAAACATTTTATAAGACCCCAAATTTAATTTTTTAATTGTGTGTAACTCTTAAATATATAATGTATGTTGCACAATACTCACTTGAAGTATTGTAAATTTTACAATAATTAGGTGTACATTTTGCAATGTACATTATACAACAGCGTACCGTTTGGTCAATATCATGAAATTTTACAAAATTAAAATTCTGCAATTAAAACAAATCATTTTTGTAAGCTTAGCTGCTCTATAAAGTGTAATGTATTTCTTATAAGATTTATGAC